AATAATTTGAGTCAGAAGTCAACTACCAGTTTGATCGACTTTTTGCCGGTATGTGTTTCGAGAGCGCTTTCATCGTCAAATGTGAATAATGATCACATCTCCGAAATTCTCTGTCCTTAATCTAGTTCTGTTTGTTTCATCCTTTGTTTTGTTGCTCTAACTCTAAGTTCAAAAAAATATTTTGCGAATTGTAAGGCTGTTCAATGGTCGATGAATGGAGGATTCTTTTTTATCCCATGATTTACACATTTTCTACGTTTTCCTTAACCGTTATTGTGGCAATGTATCATTTCTTGGTGTTCCAAATTTCAAATATCAGAATACAACCCCCCACCCCTTCCCTCTTCTTCTCCTGAATTTTATACCAATTGCAGAGCTTCGTAGGCATTTGGCTGAATTTCCAAATGTTTGTCTCTTTTAGGTATCGTATACTACTAACTGGGACACTAGATAGGCAGAGGTCAACTGTGCTTATTGAAGGTGATCATTGTTTGTATTTGTCTTTCAGAGACCAATGAACCACTACTGGTACTCGGATCAGGCTCTCCATTGCGTCAGTTCATTTACTCTGTCGATCTGGGTCGTTTGATTATTTGGGTGCTCCGAAATTACGACAATCCTGAGCCCATAATCCTCTCCGTTCCCGAGGCCAACGAAATCTCCATCAAAGACGCCGCCTCTGCTATCGTCTCTGCAATGGGCTGCAAGGGTCTCACTGTAAGTTATGCTCACTTTCTCACTCGACTGAAATAAATCTCCCACAACTCCTCCTTGACGTTTCTCCTACCCCTCGGTGGTTGAATAAAGCACTCCCACAACTCCCCTCCCCTTAAACTAGGCGTTAATTAATCAAAAATTTTATTCATCTCACAGTTGCCATGTTAAAAGCGTGAACTAATGAATCTCCTTTTCAAAACATTTGTGTTTTCTCAACCGTTCGAAGGAAAGCACTGAAGTGAAGAAGCAAGACGAACGCTTCTTGATTACCTATTGTCGGCTAATAAGCACTGGAATGTCATAGACAGTGAATTCCAGGAATGAAGCGTGAAATATGAACTTTGGAGCGTGAATTGCCCACTTAGTGTATAGTGTACAACTCGAGCGGTCCTATTCAGAATGAACTGTGGTCTCACCTTGTTTATGCGAGTATATATATGTACATTTATTTATTTAAATCAGAGGGCAGATTTCATGGTAGTTATCATTCGGGTTTCTCCGAGGGGTGAACAGAAGTGTGATTCATAAATTTACAGAGATATGCACAAAGGTAGAGAAGAAACTAAGGTAAGGTGAGTACTGCGGAAGTGGTGGAATATGACATACAGTTGGTTATGGTGGTTTGAAGTCAGAAGCCAACTGCCGGTATGAGTATGCATTTCCCAGGGTGCACCACCTGGAGGTTAGTCTATGTTTTTGGTTCATATTTCCATTTTACGCCCATATGAACTAGCCTTATTGCCCTCCCCCCCCCCCCCCCACCTTTGCTCACCCTTCACTTTGCATTAAAACCAAACATCAATACTCATTTATTTCTTACTTGTTTGTGGTGTTTGCACCAGTGAGGCTAGGGGAAGAATAACGGCCCAGTTAATGTCATTCCAGGAACTCGAATTCTGGCACTGTCATTCCCCTGGTGCTACTTGTGCAAGACTGTTATTGAAATTTTTGTAGGCACTAGCCTTTCTTAGTGCATATGGATTTAATGCAAATTTACGCATTTACTTTAATAAGCGACTCCTTCACATTCAATATATCTTGATTCATTTTGTCCAATGTGCTCATGTACTTCCCTAATAAGAAATGATATGAAAATGTGGGAGTCGCAGTTTTTCTCCCCGCCTTCTTCTCTGTCCAATCAATATTCTGTTGGTGATGTAGGTTTGTATTATCCTCAAACTTAAAATTTGAGTCCTTTCGTTCGAAAGACAGTGCATACTTGTGGAAATATGTCGTTATATCCTTAAGCAAATCAAATGTGACTATTTGTATCCCCCTTAATTTTAGCTGGATCCCTCCAAAGCTGATGGTCAATTCAAGAAAACCGCTTCAGCTAAAAAGCTGACGTCACTCAATCCAGATTTCAATTTCACCCCTTTTCAGAAAGGTTTGTTTCCCATTTATTTTTATTTATCAGCATGGGAAGAATATTACATAGCATCGATTTTTTTTAATTTTAGCTATAGCTGATACATGTGATTGGTTCTCAAAGAACTTCGACACTAGCAGAAAGTGATTTCTTAAAGTTCAGTTGCCTTATCATAAAATTCGTTTATGATGGTTTACTGTTGCTTTTCCTTCTTTGCCAAACCCAACTATTGACCATGAATTCTAATACTTCTGTTTGATTACGATTATGCATTACTGTATGCCTTATAAAAGTAAAATGATTTTGTTAAATCGTTTTTTTTTCAAATCCATTTTTAAACAACCGCGCAGCCTACCGTTCCCGGTTTGCCTCTTAAAGTATTCGAAGAAAGAATGTGCTGTTATAGGCCCGAAGATATTGATTTAGGTCTCAACGGAATCCAGAGAACAAAGCATATCCAAATTATTTTGTAGCAGTTATTAATTGGGGAATCATTTGTACTTAAGGTGCGCCTATGCCATGGTGATCCAACATTAACATTAGTGGTTACATTACCCATTGTTCTTTGCGAGTAAATGCTTGGTGGTCTTAAATCTGACACCATTGGTGGACTCTGGGCAAAATACAAATCAGCTATGAATTTACGCTCTCAGTATCCACTTCAATAATTGCTAATACTGTAAGAACATTCAAGACATGCGCGGCATTTTGAATTTAAATATTTATAATAATGAATCAATATATTCCGATTTAGTTATTTTCGCCAAACTATTAATCCACCAAAGGAGCCCATATTTGAAATGGCTTTTTGTTGGATAGTATATTTCTGAGAACGCAAACCTAGAGTCTTGAATAGTCTAGTTATACCCCTAAGACAGAAAATAAGCGTATGCAGAATCCCTTCAATTTAAGTGCTAAACAGACGAGCGTGCGAAAGTACAATAAAAAAGCTTATGATAAAGTTTCAAGCAGTTAATCCTGAAGGAGTACTACAATATTGAAAGCATCGGAACAATTTGAACCTACAAAGCAGAAACTGACTAGGAAACATCGAAAGATGGGTACATTCGATGAATAACGCAGATACGAGATGATGAAAATAAATTATAATGTCTAATCTGTAGTAAGAAATGAGGTTCACTTAAAATTGAACTATTTCGGCTATATCATAGCTTTGCTTATAAGAGAAACTTATGCTCAAAATCAAACGATCAAAATGCTCTTTCCACTTGATGTTTTCGACCCATTGAGACTTGTGGAGTGCACAACGATACCCCCATTTGATGTAAGATGAGAACATTGATTTGGAAGATTTGAATTACTCAAAGGTAAATTATTAGTTGATTTTTCACATAATTTGTCTGTTTGACTGATAGGTCAGGACATTTACTTGTGATTTTCATTTTAACCTGTAAATCGTATCACAACTCTAATCAAAATGTACTTATTATATACGAGCTTTAAGCAACTGAACAAAACGGACATAAATTTCGCAACATTTAGTCACTTTTAATGATAAACTTGTTTTTTTTTTCTATGCCCGTAAATAAAAGCATTTTCTTAAAATACATGCAAAAAAATTATAAATCTTTTCTGTTTGTTGATGGCCCAAAAACCACATGCTTCTATGAAATAGATGTCAAAACATCTTATTTTAAGGGTTCAAATGGCATCGCTACTAAGTATTTCTCTTTAAGTCGCAAGAACCATGATAGTTTGAAATTCTATAGTCACGAGGGATTGATCTTAATGAGCAAAATTCTAACGGATTGAAACCATTTTGCTGTAAATCTCAAATTGACACAATTGAACTTCAGTGTTCATGAGAAAAGAAACGATTTGATCAAGCACGCTAGCATTCAATGGAATGTACAGTGGATTAAAACGTGCAAAACTCCAATTATATTTCTAGAAGAACAATTATTTTTAAATATTTTTAATTATTTTTTCAAATTTATATGTATCTTATCTCATAATATTATATGCTTTGTTAATTCGATAACTTTTCTTTAACTCTATCAGATGCATAAATTATAGAATGTCGCACAATTTCAAGAGTGTAACTATGCAAATCGAATTGAATGGTTTAATCGAAGACTGGCATTTTCACGCTGCCTGTTTTCTTGCCAAAGTTAGCTTTTAAACTTTCTTATAAATCAAGGATCTTTACGAATGTTTTCCAGATTCGTTCAAGAAACCAATTTCTAACGGAATGTATGAAATTGATTGGCAAACTTACATTCATGAAACAAAACGAGTAAATCATGAGCCTTTTTAATAAATGAAAGAAACTTAAAGGAAAATATTGGGGTTTTGACAGCGCTGTCATCTGTTTTTGTGGTGATACACCTTTAGGTGACTATCTTTCTCTGCAGAGCTGGGCAGAAGATAACTTTGATCTTTCAGATTACAGACCATCAGCTTTTTATAAGGTGATGGCATATGACGAATATAGAAACACCTTAATAAAGAGAAAAGTAAGGATACTCTTTATCATTTACACATCTCAGAGAATGTACATTTCCATGGGAATTAAAATAGGTGGTGATACCTGCGAACCTCTCTTATTCGAGGTAAGGTTAATGTTTTCAATTAAGATCACAGCTTTACTCTGACATAGTACCAAAGACTTGTGAGAATTTTATAAAACTATGCACAGGAGAGCTTGGCATTATTGCAAAGAATGGAGATCAGAAATATCGGATGCATTATCTAAACACAATATACTTTAGGCTAGTTCCAGGCGGGTGGATTCAGGGCGGAGGTATGTTTAGCAAGAAATGACTCCATAAACCAACTTTACATTAGACATCTTTCGCGGAAGCGGAGATGACGGTAGGTCTATCTACGGCCCAAGATTCGAAGGTTTAGTAAATCTCAAATAATTATTGCATGATAGATGAGAACTTTGCGATTAAACATGATAGACGAGGAATTTTAAGTATGGTAAATGAAGGTAGAAATACGAATTCTTCTCAATTCATGATAACTTTTCAACCAGCTCCTTGGATGGACTGCAGATACGTCGCCTTCGGGTATGATAAATCATTCTATCTCCAATTTTCCCTCTTTTCAGCCAACTTCTAGAGGGTCTCAGAACGCTGGACGAAATGGAACAGGTCGAAACCAATAATGATCGTCCCTGTAGAGACATAAAAATAACCGAAATTAAAGTTCTTAACCCCAAAGATATATACTCAAAGCTCGAATAAAGCTGTGTAGCTTAAGCAAAAGACATTTATCTTATGAGGCTCAAGTTGTCAATGAGTCAAGTAGTTCAATGAGATATGGAGGGGGGGGGGGGGGGGGGGGGGAGAGGGGAGACGTAGGAACAAATTAAAAGAGGGAATAGACAATACACAGAGACAAACAATTAAAGCGAGATCACAGATAGGACTGAGGAGGGGTGGGGGGTGGGGGATCAAGTTAAGGGGATTTGACAGTGGAAGAATTTTTCGAGGTAGTTCCAGCATGTGGAGAGGGTGCAATGATAGCGGGTGGATTGGTTTGAGTCCCGGAGGAACGGAAGAATATCATGTAAATTATCCCAAAAAAGACCAGAATCATGAGGATCCCGATTGCAGCCAGGACAGCCCGGTTCTGAATCACGCTATGGCCAAGAGGGAAATCAGGTAGAGTGGCAAAACAAACAAATAACATACATCGTCTAGATTTGGTGAAAATTGCTTCACAAAAATAAACATATCAATATGACATTAAACGGTTGCTTGAAGGCGGACGAATAAATGAAAGGTCCTTTCAATTATTTAAAATAAAACCTCCCAAATAAGCTAATCAGTTCAAAGTATACTTACAGATGTTTTGGATGTAATTCCGTAGATACTTCCAGCAATGGCACATTCATGCACACAATTCAAGTGTCAAGATATGCCTTACTGAAAAGACACCTATAAAAAGCAACTACTACAAAAACCTAGAAGTGAAAATTATGGCTTTTGTAGCCACCGGGGAATTTCGAGTTCGAAACTCATAAAATCACAACAGAAGTCATAAACATTCTCAAGGACACAAATGTCGTGACCTATACCGGCTCTGTAGCTGAAGAGGTTGAAGTGACTGGGTCGCTTTTTATTAGATACAAGCAAGACGAATCAGGACCTGAAGAAGAAATTCCAATCACAGAATTCTATCAGGGCAATTGAAATACTATCTCCTGTTATCAACAAAACCGTGGCCACTCTACCACGCTTTAGACTGTTTCGAAAGGCAGTTTTAAAAGGCGAATCTACTCTTTACTGACTCAATGAGAAAGATGGCAATTAAAGACGCGCAGCTGAATGCGGCCTAACACGAAAGCACGTATATTAGCTTGAGCTTGTCGCACAACCACCTAAATACTCTCGACTGAGGTTGAAACCTAATCCATATTAACGCGCTAGAATCGGCTGTACAACATAATTCGTGTGATACCCGCACACACCCCCCCCCCCCGGTCACGAGACATGATTTGGTTCATTCAGCAAATGCATAAATGGTGTCGCATTGTAAACCACACTGTGAAGAAGTCAGAAATAGAAATGAGAAGGCAAAGAGTCGACTTACCGTCGGTACATCTTTGAAATAATCCGTGAGCTGCGAGAGAGGTCTTCATTAGCATGCCTCAACTGAAAAGCAGAGAATAAGAGACATAAAAACGCATTAACGCATAGAATTAAACACTGTAATTTGTTTAAATGACTCATTGTGATATCGAATAACAAAAAAACGTTAAAAGTTGCTTCCGCATTAACCGAAAATAACATTAGACAACTCCCTTTTAGCTGATTGCTTTAACGTGGCCTAAATTTCACATAATTAAATAACTTTAAGAAAAATAAGCTTTATCGTACTTGGATCAAAGGTATTTTAAAGCCCTTTTTTGAAAAGTAGTTTGTACAAGTTCCGGACTGATAAATCATAGCTAACAAATGAAATCAATAATTCAATTCTTTCCAATTCAAGCAGTTACTAATGTACACGCCTTCAAGTAATAAAGTCATTCGTTATAGTTCTGTCAGATCGATAATAATAGAATTATTAAATCAATCAAAAGGAGGACTATTGAAGATCAGTCATTTAATGTAATCAGTATTGAAAATAAAAAAGAGAAGGTCCGAAATCTTTGCAAGATTCGCGATTTTTTTAGCATAGTTCAAATCAAGCAATAGCTTCCTACTTCAATATGACCGCCAGCTACCATTGGGGTTCAAAAGCCCCGTATTGTTAACACCAAAAATGTTAGTAACAAACAAATTGCAGCCCCATTTTTGTACAATTTCACAGACAAAAAACGAACCAACGCATACAATCATCTCGTCTTATCATCATCTTATCAAAGACGTGACCATCAAATACTCTAAACTAGAAAAATCAATACCTCACCACTTTCACAACTTAGTAAAATTTGTATCAAGTTTGCTGGAAAGTAGCATACTTGCAACCCATACATTATTACAATACTAAACACCAGTAATGTCGGAAAATAGTTGAATAGAATGACAAAGACCCTAACACACTTTACTTCTAATAAGCACTTAGCATAGCAAAAAACCTTGAACACCCACCCCATTCTATTTCCATCTATTTGCTTAGTGATCTATTGTCTTTAAAATAGCATTAAGAAAATAAAGAGACAATTTTTCATTATATACAAATAGATTCTAAAAATACTGCCTTATACTAGGTCGATTTTGGGTACTCTAGCCAGTTCTATTGTTAGAAGGTAATCGTGTATTGAAATAACATGATTCATCAGTCAAATTAATTAACAGATATGGATACACATAGGAAATGGTGATAAATGACTAAATTTAAACTTCAGAACGTAAGGAAATATACCTATTAAATCACGTCTACTCGAACTCTCCATAAATCTCTATTGAATTAATATACTGTCACTACGTTCAGATGTCTCTCCATGATACCAAACAACTCTTTGGACTTGCTGAGTGTAAAAATAAAACAACCGCTAAAAAATTATCATATGATTGATCATAGCACAAAACCTGTTGATTAAAATATCAGCATGAAAGATAAGATCAGACCACACACTTACCCGATCTCGACTGCGCATAATGGTCTCTCTTTGCTGATCCAAGTCTCCCAGAATTTGCCCACCAATTTCCTCAGTCTCATAGGCAACACGAAGGCCATCGTTGAGCCGACGACCAGTGCGTTCCACGCGCTCTGTGTTGGAGAGTAGAGAGACACGCATATCACCCGAATCGCCACCGCTACCACTCAATAACTCCTCGCGGAGGGCATTGTGTTCTGATAGGGGACCACTGGTTGGTGCTGCGTTGGCACTGTATCGTGGTCGTTTCTGGGAAGAGGAAAAAGCATAATTGGATAAGAATGGAGAGAAAATAAAGCTATCAGCCATCGAAGTATGCTGTTTGGTATGGATATGTAACTACTTCTGCAGTTACACACTAGATGTTCGCAAGATGGTGGTAATGGGACAAAAGTAGAACCGTTGATCAAAGATGGTTCACTAATTTTACAAATCATATGTCGGGGTAAAGATCTTGATAGTATAATTGATTGTCTCTGCTAAGAGAAGAGGAACGTGTGAGGCTGAAACTCGCATTCTTCAAAGAGATGAAAGATAAAGAACCCCGCTGGGTAGAGACATGTAATTGTATAAGTTTCTTTTGATATGACCCAGACACCCGATAGATTATGGTTGGTTACATTTGACTCAAAGTTGGTTTGGAGGGAGCAAAGACTAAGTTACTTCACCATAACAAGTAAAGCCACTTTTATAAACTGACCGGGTTAGATTACCCGGTCAATGGCTGGGTAGAACTAATAGTTTAGTGGACTTAGAAGGAAACCCAACGACCGCGATATTGGTGAGCATATACGAAGCTGTTTGTGGAAAATGTGGAAATAGAATTATGGTATATGAATCAAGATTGGACAACAATGAAAATCTCAAGGTGTTTTGAAACGATAAACTGAGTGTTTTGTTGATGATAATTACTTTCTCAATCTAATGCGGAAAATTGAGCCATATCGTTCAATTGAGTTGACAAGAAACGAAAGTTCGTTGCCATCTCCGATTACCTATTATTTCAGAGAAAATTAAGCAAATTGAGAACTGGGCAACAGCTGTAACACGTAATAGCACTCATTTTGGATTTACTACGGTGAAAACTCTAATTATGACATCCGTTTAATGAGGGAATTGAGAAGCCATATTGTAAGCGAAAAGCACGCAAAACTCGATTTGACTAAATCACATTCTAATATGGGTGTTTATGTTGATTGATAAAATACATTTGATGACAGGAGAGGATTAATCATATCCAAATCGGCGCGTATCATAAAGGAAACTTCTCGTTTAAAAAAATTGAGAGCTCGAGTACAACGAGATGTAATTGACAAACAAAATGCCTCACTTAATGACCCTAAGAAGTTTACAAAACAATAGTTAGTACCAAGGGGTGTGGAATAGACTTACCTCCACGTGGTGCACCCTGGGCAACGTATACTCATACGGCAAAAAAGTCTATTAGTCGGCAGTTGACTTCTGAATTCAAACTACCAAGACCCCACCGCATTTCATATTCGACTAATTCCACAGTACTCACCTTTTTTCTACCTTTGTGTCTGTCTGTCTCTTTTACGTCTGTAATAATTATTCTGTCCCCCCTCTCGACTTTTTGCCACTTTGGTGTTCCTCTTCCTTTCTGTGAAGCACGAAGTCAACTAAAGGGCTAATGATGCCTATCATAACGCCTGCCATTTGAAATAAATAGTTAGTACCAAAAGAAAGCATAAAATTAAAAAAAGCAAAAGCGTGTGCATGAAACCACCTCCTTACCGCCAAAGCCAAGTGCGGATAAACTCTTCCTAACGGAGTTGAGCACTGTCAATCCACCTGGTCTGAGATCTAATGGTGTTTAAATTGGGAGGAAGGCTCATTTTGCAACCCATTCCCTGTCAACAAAGCAGCAAATTTCAACAAGGCTAATCAGAAGCCCTTGTCTTAGTATTTAGCAGTAAAACTTTCACTCGGTAGAAACATTTTTGTCTCTCTGGTTCTTACATGCTTGGCTGAAGGCTAAGCTAGGGCAAAGTGAAATTAGTCAAAACTTCAAGGATTTCATGCATGACAGGGGTGGTTTACGGTATATGGGACGAAAAGTGCCACCATTATACACAGATGAATAGACACCGGGTAAAGCACAAACCGTCATAAAAGCTAATCAGACCTACACCAAACAACGAATTTTGAGTTAATAAATATTATAAATTGCATGTTTCCAAGTTCTACAACAAAGTGTGAAAAGAGGTCACTTTCTGTAATAATCCACTTCCGAAAAAAAAACTTTATCTACTCTGATGCCTTTCAACATAGAATAGAAAATGACCGATCTCCGAAGATACACTATAAATGAGCACAATGCAAATCAGTAGATATTTTATAAAATAAAAATCGATTCTAAAAAACAGATACCCTATAATTTAACCCATAACTACGTCCTACATTATCTTTTAAACTAAATATACAACTCGGACAATAAATGTCAAAATTAGCCCAACACATTTGATCAGATTTACTTAGTAGTAAATGTTCACCAATATCAAAATACATAGATGTAGCTATCTGGACAAATATTAAAACAGAATCACTGCTAGTGTGCAAATAGCATGACAGGGAAAAATGTGATAACTAAAACGAATCGAAGCCAAAGTTACCATAAAATGTTAACAATTTAATCAAAACCACAAACAGTTGATCGAAGAGACAATAGTAGGTGGATAACAATGAAACTTACGAATTCCTGAGCTAATCGAGCTAATTCCTGACCATAGCACTGCAATCTGGTGGTGTATTTAGGTTTAACGTCAGCGGGCATATCCTGGATTTCCAAATCCATCTGTTCGAGAAGTTCTCTAGTTTCATCGAATAGACGGGTTGTAGCGGCTATCTCAGCCTTTCTCTCCTCTTAAATGCAAGAAGTTTGAAAAATACTGAACATTCAAAGAAATTAAGTAAAGTTTTGCCGATAATATCAACAGAAACATTACAAATTTATCTAGTAGTTATCTAAATAATAAATGCTCACTGGATCAGCAGATTAAATTATTCACAAAGAAAAAATTGATTTACCATTTGCTAGTCTAGAAATATTGTTGAGTTTTGATGTAATTTCACTAGTTAGATTTCCATATTGTTTTTCATACGACTCCAAAATAGAAGCCATAGCTGAATACAGACCTCAGAGCGAGAAACCAGTAGCGATTTAGCGCACTTAGTTTACACCGTTTTAAGCGAAGGAGAGTATACTGATTCATTTATAAACGAATCATTAGAGAAATATTGTTTTACATGCCAAATATTCAATTATTTTCATTTCATTATAATTAATATTAGATTAATTTGAATTTTAATGAATTCTTATTTAATTAGTGTTGGATTGAGAGAATATTTATTTATAGTCTGATTTATTATTTTATACTGAAGAAGATTAAAATTTCTAAAATTCATTGACTACTTAACGCATAAGAAGACCCAAAAATATATTAATGGTTTAACGGCCTAAATTAGGTTAGTAAAGTTATTTAAACCTTCATCCAAATTCTCTAATTCCATTTTTATCAGATTATTTAAAGTGGATGAGAACAGGGATGAAGTAGCAACTTTGGTATTGTTAAGTCAAACCTGTGACTTAATAGCAGAATAAAGCTCAAATTGATGTCTTCGGTAGATGAAAAATTATTGTGAAATTAGATGGAAAAGAAAGCTATCTCAAATTTCTTACGGAAGAAGATAGGGAGAGTCAAATAAAATTTTAAATTGAGGGTACTGATGATTTTGAAATTCAGATAGGGTAGGAATCCTTTGCCTTTCTAACTCATTTTTTCAACTCTTTCTTGGCGATGCAGTATGAAAGAACTCACAGGAGCTCTTAATAAAATGACAAAATGCAGTCAATAATGTAATCAATCAACCAAATATTGTTTGGAGCAAGTGCAGGAACACGTTGAGGAGGTTCGAACAAAATTGATAAAGACATTGGCGGAAAAGATACTGCCTTACGATTCTCACAACTTGCCAATGATGGACGTTTCCTCTCAGCAAATTAGTACTGGTAATCGCTTGTTCTATTGCTAAGTAGTTGCAAAATATTTAGGCACATTAAGATCGGATTGGAAAAAATCAAATTTGATAAGAAAATTGAATTCTGTTTCGAAATTCGAATACGACTGTACATTAGATTTCATATTACCACCAAAATGGTCGATATTTTTTGATAGACGTTTATCTTCAGTTGAAGGACAGGTTGTTTTTTGCATTCTCAAGAGATCAGAATAGGACAGGTAAAGCAACTCAAGTCGACTTACCTGTAGCCACCAAGTGGGCCAAGTTGCTAGTCGCGTTAGGGTGAATTTGTTGTCTTGAGCGCAGAGATCTCTCAGCCAATCATCAATGACCAAGCCATACTTCAGAGGGGCATATTCACAATAAATGATAATCTCGCCAAATGCTCTACTTAATCAGTGTTGTTGAAATGGCAACAACTTCGAGAACACTTTCAGACAGAAGTTATTCGTTTTAGAGATTATTGATGTTTAGTCATGTCTTATTTGTGAAGTCCCCCCAGCTATATATTCGTCGCATTGGATACAATTAGGATCAATATCATCGTGCAGTAGGCTCTCCATACAAGATAGCCTATTGTAGCACTGATTCTCAAAACCGCGGTTGTTGTATTGGTCTTATGGATAATGATTGCCAAATACCTAAGGGCAGGTGGTGTGAACGCAGAGGAAAATTATTTTATGCTACTTGAAAGATACTAAAACCGAATGACCACTAGTCTTTCAAGGTAGAGGGCGATGCTTCTAAGATTCCTGGTAAATAGAAGATTCAATATCTTATGAAGATAACAAACTGCTTGCTGGTTTTACACTGAAGGGCTCTACTATAACACTGAGTGAGCTTGTATCCCATAGTTGGAAATATGAATAGTGGAAACATGGATATATGGGATTATATCGATGTAGTATGCCGGCAGCAAAATACTATGCTCTGAAATATGGAACTCTTTCCATTACTTTTATTTAGCCATTAGATAAGTCCATGGCAAAAGTGCTTTACATATCATTTATTTTAAATGAATATCTAAAAACTAATGCATATAATTTCCGACATATTTTATTATTATATCCGGATTTGCGCGAATGATAAAATGGTAAATAATACTATTAAGTCGAGAGCCGAAACGTTGAAAGTATTTCAGAAGCGTAGAGAGATATAGTAAACCTTAAAATTCTACTTTACAATTGAGTCACAACATTTTTAGACTAACTTTACTGTTTCAGGAATTTTAATTTATTTCATATGTGTTTAATTAAAAGAAATTTTGAAGGTTCTTAAAAATTATGTTCTTTAAGTGAGGTATCTAAAGAGGTCAGGAGAAAGCACAAGGCGGGCTTATTGTTATCTTTTTCTTTTCTTGTTGCCCGTAGGGTTGTGTCCTATTCGTTGTTCATTAATACTAGAGGAAGAATATTGAAATTTATCAGGATTTTATTGACTGTTTTATATTTATTTTTTGCAATACTTCATTTTACATGCTCTATTTTGGACATGCATAATGATAAGCCGAATTATATTTTAGATTAAACAATGCGTTATCTAATACTGTTGATGCTGGTGGTGTTTTGCTTGGCCAAGCCAGCAGTAGTTCCATGGAATCGTCTTTTCAAGCCTGAAGCGAGTTTTCCTAGTGAAGGCCCTTATAATATCCGAGATCTCTGGCACAAGTTTATTGAGGATTTCAAGCACATCCCTTCCATCTTTTCTTTCCGAAATTTCGAACGAAATGTTATGAGAATTTGGAAGCATCTCTCTGTGCCTTCTTCGTTTTCAATGGCGATCAACAAGTTTACTGTTTTGGTAAGTTTATGGGCTCCTAGGTTTAATTAAACTCATATTTAGAGTGAAGAAGATTACCATAAAATGCTTGGCTATCGGCCAGATCTCAACCGTTCCGACCCAGGTATTCCCCGTCATTCGTATCGTAAACTCGCAAGATATTCTCCATTACCTGATTTTGTCGACTGGCGTTTACAAGAGTAAGCAAAATTCACGT